ATCTTCACTCCAAGGCAGGTGAATATTATGGACAGAGAATATTATTCTACACCACTTCAATAAATCATAATACATCATGAATTCTGCAATAATGCTAGAAAAAGACTAGCACAGGAAAATATAATTTATACATCACATTTCCAAAGAAATTATTGTAGAGCTTTTCTTGAATACCTCTGGGTACAGACAGGTCTAACAGAACCATCAGGTTCGTGTAGGTGTCATTGATGCTGGGGGGAGTCACCCCATCTCCCTAGTCCACAAATTGTTCAAGCTTTGCTGAGATCTCGAAGGATCTATTTAGGTTTGGCATGAAGGGGTAGAGATTAGGTTGCAGCTGGAATCTTCTTTAAAAAGATGAACCGGTCTCTTTCTGTACCACTTGTTTAAGCCCGAACAAGCACAAGGGCAAGCGGAAGAGGAGGAAGAGGTTTTGGAGCAGTTCAGCTCCATCAGCTCCCCAGCGGTCGACGTGGAGGTTTGGATGGGCTGTGAGCATCAGGACTCACCTCGCCACTTTCTACCAGTTTAACTCCCGTGCGTCGTCTGCAATCTTAAACTTCGGCAAAAGGGACAAAAGTACGCTGGGGCCTTTGAAGAGTGGTGATTTAAATTGATGGGCACAGGCTGGAGCAGCTTCCTCCCACTCACGGTCCTGACAGACCTTCCCCTCCCTGCCCCACGCGGGAGAAGGGACTGCTCTTTCCCCACGGATGCCAAGCAGAGCACAACAGCGTTACTCAGCCGCCAGCGACGGCAAAACGCTGAGCTTCCACCACCAACTGCTACAGGCTCTGCCTGCGAGGTGTCACCCTCCCGCCCTTCAGACAAGAGAAGCAGCGTTCCCCAGGGAACTCTTCTCCAACGACCAACCCGTAGGGGACAGGAGACCTCGGATAACTCAGCCAAGCTCCCACCTGGCTGAGAACACAAGCCATGCTCACCCCTGCCCGTGGGGGAGGAGTAGCTCAGGCGATGTGGGTTTAGCCAGCACCGGAGCCCCCAAAGTATTTCGTATTCAGGGGTATTTTCTCATCTCTCTGCTATGCTTCAGGAGAGGAGGGAGAGGCAGGAGAGCATCGGTCCCCTGGCAGAAAGGCTGGAGTTAAGACCTACCTCCCTTCAAGAATGTGCTATTTATAGCAGGCTGAATTTGAGCATCTCCAAAAAATTCAAGTACTTGAACGAGTCCAGCAGGAAAAGCTCCACAGGAGGTGAACAACATGGTCTGACGCTACCTCCGGATCCTGTTTGCTTTCTTATTCGTCCCAGGGAGCGGGCGGCTCGGATCGCATCTGGCTTTGGTAACACTGGTTTCCCACGCAGAGATCCCCCCCTTTGAGCAGGGCTCAACTCTCCTCCACCAAACCAAACATGCTCCCAACTTGCAACAGTGGCTGAAGTCAAAAGCAAAACAAATTCTACCTGTTCCGTTTTTGAACAGGCTCTTTGATTACCGAGAGGAGAGAGAATTGCTGCTGCTATAGAAACAGCAGCCACCAACCCGCTGGCCACGCTTTGCTACAGACCTGGAGATCGCTCCAACTGCGAGATGTGCCACAGTCCACATCCAACTACCAGCCTGCAGGTCGTTTGCAAGGCCACGAAAATATCTAAAAATACGAGCCCACGCGCCACTTCCAAACTTTTCAGAGCAGATGCTTTTTTCCCAGTAGGTATCAGCAGGGAAGACATGTTAAATACAATATTGTCCAAGTCTGGTTACAAATGCCTCCGTATCTCCTTGTAAAAGAAAACCCGTTGGAAATTTAGCGCTACTTACCCCACCTCTGCCTAGTTTGGGTGTGGGGAAGGGACCCAGTACCTCTGCACCAAACCTGTGGATTCCAACAGTATGAGACAACATTCACAGCTGGAACAGCAAATACCTAAATCCTCCTTCACTCCCATGGGCTTTAACTGTGCTCCATCATCTCTGCAGACAACCACGGCGATAGCGGAACCCAGGGACTATTGAAAATAAAAGATCTCTTCAGGTACCGAAGCGCTGAATACTATTCTATAGACATATTTAAAAAATTTTGTGAAAGTGAGATTGTACTGGCAAGCACTGTTTAAATAATAAAAAAACCCAAGCACCAAGCAGAGCCACCAAGTGAAAAAAAAATTACCGTATTTCCCCAGGAAAAACACACTCATGTTGTAAATTGCAGTAATTAAAAAAGCGAACAAAGAAAGTTGTATTTATGCAGTGATTTCAGGAAGAAAAGCTCTTTAAAAACAAACATTAATGTGTTCACCAAGAAATATGTATACATACTAGATTAATGCTTTATGATGAGTAATTGAATTTATTGCACATAATTAACAAATAAGAGTTCTGATATTTCAAGTGTTTAATTACAAAGAGATAACAAATCTAGGTATATTTTTATCATTCTTGAATTTTCATGCAAGCTATTTAAAAGAAGCGATGACAACACTGCAGAAACCTGACTTTAAGATTATTTCTATAAACTCCTGCTGGCTGTACACCAGCCCTGCCAGGGGCAGCACACCGCGGGGCAGCCGCCGGAGCTCACGGCCACAGCCGATGCTGCCCAAAACCAGGCAGCTCCAGGGCGAGGACCACGACTTCCCACGAACTGGAGAGGGGGACGGGGGAGGACTACAGAAACCAGCTCAGGTGAGAAGGAAGTTGGCATTCACCTGGATGATGCTGAGCTCAAAACGTCGGCACGGTGCACGGTACAGGTAACGGCCTGGCTGAACTTCACCTTTCCAGGGGGTGGACTAGCAATCTGCAGCCTATTTAGCTCTAAGAAAAAAATTATGCCATGAACTGCTGAACTGCATCAGCAAATGCTTCAGGAATAACACAAAATCATTCCAGTTACAAATCAGAAACATCCCAAGTTAAATTCAGGGCTCCCACTCCAGGACACAGCTACGCCACCGACCTGCTAGGAAGGGGCCACAGGAAGACTGAATTTTTCAATTAAGAAAACTCCTGGTAATATCAGAAAGAATTAAAACATTTATTGAGCATAAATATATTACATATACACTACAGATACAGTTAAGTCTTACATACATAGTGTAGTATTTGCAAAATCTATACATTAAAATTGATATGGCAGTTTTAATACAATGCATATGAAATAGTCTAAAATTTACAAGAAAACTTATGATTATTTTTTTTTTTAAAGTTGAAAAGCTTGGAATGTATGTTCCCACAGTGAGGTAAAAACATTTTACTTTTTTTTTTTTCAATTTAAAGAACTGTGCAAGGATAAGGTTCATACACATTCAGTTAGGGCACTTTTCAATCGTGACACTGAATACTGAGCTACCGTAGCCAACGAACAGGATTAGAAAACATTTCAAGTTCATAAAGAAAAAGGCAGAATAATGTATATATAAAAAAAAATATCTCCTTCCTTAAGGGCTTTAAATATTTAGTGTTTCATTCTACCTTTTTTGGCGGTGGTTGTTCATCGTTTCTTTGAGAGCAGAGAGCCCTGGGGTTGGACTCAACGCCCGCCGCCGGATCAAAGCGCACGAAGACGCACGGGAAAAAGCCGAGGCGACGGCGGGTCAGCGGGAACGGCCATCGGAACCGGAACGCTTCAACATCCGTCACACTGTATCTTCTTGTTAATACGTGAAGGACAACCAAATCACTATGGCAGAATATACAAACTAAAAGAACGTCCAATGAACTTACTGAGGGCCTGTCCCAACTCCTACGGGATGCTTTCTCCGATAACCTCGGGGCTGGACTGGGCGTTCTCGTTAGCGTGATTATAAAGGACACCAAACAAATTAGCAATGACAGAAATGCTTCAGGTGTAACTGATTGCTTTTCTCTACACTTCTAGCTCATTGCTTTTAGTATTATTTGCATTTCAAACTGTCAAAATTGATCATAACATCTAAAGCAAGGTGGGCTTTTTTTTTTTTTTTTATTAAAGCATTTATTTTTTTTAAAAAGGTGTCAAGCTTGGACTTCATAGCAGCAATGCTGAAACAATATTCCAAAAATAAAAAAGGGAATCTATTCAAATTTCTGGGTTTCCAAACTAGCGGTCTTCTCATTCTTTTAAAAAATACACTCTTTTCCCCTCCGTTGAAAACAGCTGTCTATGCTTTGCTCACAAAATACAGATGCAAGGTCACAAAGTTTCATATCAAAAAAAAATTAAAAAAAGATGAAAAAAAATTTGACAAGCCATGACTTTGGCAAAAACAAAAAAATATATATATATATTTAGCTCAATGCCATTAGTTTGGAAGGCTAAATTAAACTAATTATAGTCAATAACAAAATACAGAACATTTCTAATATTTGCTACATCTAGAGAGGCACACAGAATAATTCATTGATCTTAGCACTTTCTTTCCAGAGATGATTATGTTTTTGGATACATGTAAACGTTGGAATCACTGATAATGGTGGTTGGTTTTTGTTTTTTTTTTTTTTTTTTTTTTGATTTTTTTACTAGATGCTCCCATCTTCAAAAACACAAGAAAATGTAAGAAGATTAATAATACTAGGAATGCTGCCAGGTAAAAAGTTGACCTAAAGTACAACAGTATAAAACAGACAAAATATAACATGCTACGAGGAGGGTAGGGAGGGGGATTAGTACATAAGTACACTTTTTATTTTTTATTTTTTTTACAATAAATAAAAGATTGCACTGTAATTGGTATTTAAAGTACTGTATGCAGTATATAGTATAAATAAACCTAAAACAAAAATAATGTTGTTTTTTTCCCCATTACTTTGGTTAAGGGACTATTATGCTAGTACAGGACACTGAATCTTAGACGATGGAGACAGAGCACAAAATAGCTAGGACAAAAGCAAAACCAAGTAGCAAAAATATACAAAAACAAGAGGCAGGGAAATACACTGTGTCTGTTGCACCCTTTTGGAATCTATTTGCACCTCCAGCTCATTTATGTCCCTGAGGTACTCGCACAATGTTGACTTAATATAAATAACCCAATGACTCAAGAGTTAAAAAATCTAGTATCTTGATGGATTAAAATGTGGGGGGGAAGGGGCAGGCAGGAGGCGGGGACGCTCCCATCAGAGCAGGGACTATTCCTCTGCAGGACTCTCGTCTGAATTTTGCCACGTACCAAGTTACTTCAATTAGCCCCTGTGGTAAGAATAGCGTAGACACCCATTTAAGGTATTTAAAATAAACAGATCAAATTTCTGATACCTCCAAGAAAGTTCCATAAAACGGATACCCCTCCAAAAAAAAAAAAAATAAAAAATCAACTGACAGTAAAGTTTGCTTATATTGAGTGTAAATCTCACCTAATTCAGTAGAGGCAGTAAGCTGTCACCAGCTCTAACCATATAAATCAGGCTGAACATAATAGAATAGTATCTAGTATTAGATTAGGAATAGTTATATACAGTGACAAACAGACAAATTAAAGCAGCTTTTAAATAGCTGAACACGGGAATAACTAACTATTGCACAATGCCCTCTTACTTAAAATTACTGCTAGGAATCAAAATGGTAAAAAAAAATCTATAATGCTTCATAATTTATATGCAGTTTGGTTATTTGATTTCTTATACAGGCAGTTTATAGTAACTGTAAAAATAACAGATAATTAAAAAGGTTTTTCGACTGCAGGATGTTCTTCCGATTTAAATGCGCTAAACAGTTAAAATAACAACTTACGTGTTATCTTGAAAAAACTGGGGCAAACGTAGTGAATAATTCATAGGCAACATTGCTAATACTGTTCAAGGAAAACCTGGTACTGTTGACTAACACTGTATTCTAGTTTTACCACTATACACACTTGTGACTAATGTTTAGGAGGAAAAAGAAGAGACAGAAAAGTGACTCATGATTAAAGTTTCCTAAAAAGTAAGATAAAATAAGCGACTGTAAGAACGTCAGTGAAAAAAAAACCCAACAAAACAACATTGAAAAGGCAAATTGGTGACAATTTTGAAACCGTGAAGGAAAAAAAAATCTTGCTTTTGGTATCTGGTTTGCTTGTTTCTCCAGTTTGACCACTTCCTAGTTTTGAATTTCAAAAAGGTGCATCAAAACACTGATTTATCTTTCTTCAAGCTAGAACTGTAAAAACAAGAGAAGTATATAAAATGTATGGTAGAACAAAAGGATTTAAAAAAAAAAAGGAATATCTGAATAAATGTGTGGATTATAATGCGTAGCATTAGTTAAATTTGTATCTCAAACTTCCATTGAATTCTCTACTTCATAAAGAAGTATTGTAATATACAGGCGAATATAATCGACAAACTTGCAAAGCCAAGAACAATGAGGGCTGCAAACTGTTCGTCAGTAGGAATCATGCTCTTTATCTTAGGATCATCTATGCTCCCCATTTCTCCTGCAAGCATGATCTCATTTCGCTGAAGCATAAAGGCAACGGATGGGCTGAAAGGTCCACTAAGTTCCTGTGAGGTATCCAAGCACCGGCGGCAGACGCAGACGCGAAACCGATAGTCTGTGTTGACTTGAAGGCCTGAGATGTGGAATGTGGTCTCTTCTCCCTTGTACACCTTCAAAACAAAACAAACACGGTCACATACAAAGAGCGAGACAACCTCCTCCTCCTCCTTTCATAGCATTGAATGATTTAAAAACATAGTAACGTTAGATTTTGCAAGGATTTGGGCTGGAGAGTTAGGTCAAGTCTGAGTTTTGCTGCTGGTCTCAGGGGAAGAGCTCACTAGGTCAATGCAGGGTTTGAAAAAAAGAGAGGCATGTGGAGGACCATGCAGGAGATGTCCAACCATGACAGGTCTCAATACAGAGCGTTCCACAGCGTCAATGCACACAAGGACAGAAAAGACTTCAGACAATACATGAACCATAAGGCGTACTCATCTCTTGTGGGCGTGATAAATACTAAAAACATATTTCTGTACTCTTAAAGTGTGACTATATGCCTAAAACATGTCTAAGGCATAAACACCATGTTTGGCCCCAAAAGAAAACCTGCAAACTAAGGTTACTGGAAAACATTCACTGGATAATCATGAAATTGGTTACAAATATTATTTTAATGTACTTTCGCTCACATTTCTCTCAAGAGTCAGCAATTTTGCCAGAAATTACACTTTCAGAATTGTGGAAAGAATAAAATATTATTAAGGTATAAAAAAAAGCTCCTCTTGGTTGCACTGTACTTGGCTCTTTAGCAATCCAAACCCATCACGTCTTTATGTTAATCAAATGTAGGTACCGTATGACTCAGAGAGGATGAGTCATAATATGAGAAAGAAGAGAGAGAACTGAATATCTAAGAGACAGTTTTGTGACTTAAATGGAAAAAGACCACTGGAAACATACACAAACTCTGAAAACAAATAACCAGTCAACAATTTATATAACGGAGGGTTGTTGAAACTGGTATTTTATGAAATGAGTGCCTGCGCCTGCTGGGAAAAAAACATCCTGAACTTCAGATCCTTCTTCCTCTGCTCGTTTAGCCGGTTTCCTTCTCCGCTGCGGGAGCAGAAGGCTGAGAGCATCGCTGCCCTCCTGGAGGTAGGAACTCAGCTTAGAAAAGGGTAACAGGAGGGAAATTAAACCCGAGCCCATAGAGGACTTCCTGTGCATTACTCTGGAGGAAGAAATACAGGAAGAAAGAGAGAAGACATGCTCCGCTAAACACCACTTAGAGAGTCCAGCTTTCCTGCCCATGCTTGTCCCTGAGACTCATCCCTCAGTTAAAGAGCCAGTCGCTGATTTCTTGAGAAGGTCTGGAACAACAGATTAAGGTTTTTCTCTCATTCGTTCTCTCCCCTCCTTTAAACTTTCACAGTTTTCCCAAATATAGTTTGAACGATGGTGACTCTGAGTTCCCAGACTAAGTAGAAGTCCTCTAACTGGCTTGTGTTTCTTGGCCCCAAAGCAGAAATCAAGAAGCAATGTTTAAACAAAATTATGTTACCTTCCTCAAGTATGCTCAGCATTCAGGAAGTTCACTCTAACTCAAGTGACAGGGATACAACAAATTCATCCCATAAATCATAGTTCACTCTAACTCAAGTGACAGGAATACAACAAATTCATCCCAAATCCCATCTCGACGATTAAACCACAGCTATGCACTGTTGCTTTTCTCGTTATCTTTGCTTGTCTTCCCAACGCCAACGAGAAGAGAGTCATTAATTACAGTGATGGTGGGGAAAACAAAACTCTAAGTGCTGTAGCGGTCCATAGAAACAACGTGAAGGTTGAAACATCTGTTTGCAAAGCATACCTCATCCCACGAACGTCTCTGCCACTCTATTTTCTAATGGCAATTCCATTTCTAGTACCCACCTGTTGTGGGCAACTGTCCTCCACCTACTCCATTGCCAATGCTACATCTTGTAGGAGGTTAATACTCTCAAATATAAATGATCATGCAAAGAAAAGTAGCATGTATTTGGCATGTAAATGTAGGTTCAGTGAGTAATTAAAAAAGGATGTGTTCTTCCACAGGACCAGAGTCAGGATTCTTCTACTTGGAGGACTTACCTAACTCCCCCTGCCTTTAGACCCCGAGACATGGTAACTCAAAGCATCGATCCTTACAAAACAACTGTAAGCAAGGTATGTTTTCTGGTGCTGTTGTAATTACTAAATTAATTTCAAAATGTGTAATTCAGAGGAGCTCTACATGGCTTTGCCATAAATGAACCTTTGCAACCAATATGACCACTTCTAAAACAAAATAAAAATCCAACAAAATCCAAATAATGACATTTAATAAAAAAAAATTACAATCTAAGCTTCACAAATTACATTTAACAGATACTAGGGATGGGATATATACAACCTGTCTTTGCATTGAAAAAACCTGTCCAGTTAATTGCTTTTTTAACTTGTTTTGTTCTGTCAGGGTGGTAAATACCAGTGTAACTGGAGGCTAAGTTGGCCTAAATCAAAGACCTGTATCTTCATTACAGTCTAATAGATACAGATGACCAAGTTCACTCAAGCCAGCTACTCAACAGCACTTCTCAGAAAAAGGCCAGACAGTCAAGTAAAAGAGTGCATCTTTAAAGAAAATTTGAAAAATAGACAAAAGTACACCAAATACATGAATTAATATTCACTAATAATAAAGACAAAACATTTCACACACTAGAGCTAGGAAGGTGGTGGAAATTGTCCTGCTTTCAGTGGTTTGATGAGTATTTAGCACCAGTGGACCTATGTCCTTTCTCAGTAACAGGTAAAAAAAAAAATTATTGTGCTCAATTGTCATTCACTCGCGACAGTCGCCTCTCTGTCCTCCACCGCTGGCTGCAGCGAGCACCTTGGAGACATACCGGCTCCAGCTCAACTTCACCTGCAGCGGTGTCTGTAGGACCAGGCTAAGCCAACGCCAGATGCCCTCAGCACAGATACATGCTTGCTTGGGGACACAGTTACACTCTGTGAATGGACTTCACATACCCAGAGAAAAAGAAAAAAATAATTGACAATTACGTATAAGTTCTTTAAATTTGCTAAACAAATTGGAAACTAAACATAACTGTAGAAAGCAGCATACTTTTTTATATGTAGCACATCATGCTTTGGTGGCCAACAAGTCAAATTTATGTGGCCAATTTATTACTTTCTGTTCCCAAAACCAGCTTTTCTGTTTAGGCACCTGAGAATATAAAAACATGATCAGCTTTTTGCCTGGCTCCTTCAGTGAAAATTTCATCACAAGCAAAAAAACTGCTTCTGAACCCTCTTATGGCATTTGATCCTACTGATCAAGCTAGACAGCTCAGACTCTTAGGCAAGTATTTCTCAACTTCACCAATGTCATTAAATAATTCCAAGCCCCTTCATCTTTTCCAAATAATAAAAATGAAAGCCACAACCACCCTAGAAGCACCACACTGGAAAGAGTAAGATAACCTTAGCTGGTTGCTGCACTCCATTGCAATGGCCAGTGTATTTAGTAATTAATAAAAGCCAATTTTGTACGGTGATAAGAAGATCAAGAATCAGAGGCAGGTTTCAATCTATGTAGAAAGCAAGTCCACTTGAAAGGTTTAATTTCTTCCAAGTCACCTGACAGATTTCTCTTTAAGAAACTGGCTTCTTATTTTATCCAAATGCAAAATGAGCTTCACTCACTCCACTGTTGAGATGCTCCTAAACCCTTAAGAGTTGTGCGGGCAACTCTAACAAAAGGAAATTATTTGCTCTGTCTCATAACGTGAAATAGGCATCAGGAGACAGAGAAAATACTCAATGCAAGTAGCGCCAATAATAAATGCACTGTGTACTGTACAGTGATGGTGTATTTTGGCATGCAGCCAGTACAAGTGCCTCTGACTTGCTATTTAAAATAGAGAAGAAAACCTGATTTTTTGCTGATTAGAGCTTTACAAAAATTAACAGTCCACTGAAGGCGTTTCAGAGATTGTGTGTCTACGAAGTCTGAAACAAAAAAACTCCAATAATAAAAATTAGAGCTTGGTAAGACCAACCGGATTCTCCCAGGTGTCCACTTCTCGGTGCAGACCCAAGCAACCTTCCCACTGCACTGCTGGGAGATTTTTACACATCCAGTGTATCCTACCCATATCTTCTTTTCTTTTGGAAAGCAGTTAGGGACAGTTTTCTCCCAGAAGAGATGTGGCAGAGGCTGATGAAACACCGTTGACTCCAAATTCTCAGAAAATTCAAAGGTAGAACATTTTGCCTCACTGGCAAACGATTTAAGGATAAAGAAGCTCCAAAGCTCAGCTCTCATTTCCCACGGTCAGCTCTTATGAAGAGCTGGCTCCTTGGTGATTTGATCCCCAGAGCTGCTCAACTGGGAAACTAAAACTCAGGCTGTCGAGTGTTACCACCATTATCCCACACTTCAGCTCCCGCTAGAGCTGCACAACCCAATCCAGCTCCAGATTAAAACAATGCAAAGCTGGAGATAACTTTAACACACTTTAAAGCTAAGTTCTGATGGAGTGGGCTTTGGTAGATGAAAGTGCAAGAAACAGAAAAACAAATCCGGGCTACCAATTCCTGGAATTTGCCTTGATTTACACCCTGATTTGTAAACAACGAAAATTTCATTTCCTAAAAAGAACTGTCATACGCCATTGCTCTTTTTTTTTTTTTAAGTATCCAATAGATAAAGCATACAAATACACAAAAGGGAACACATTGCTTGAGAAACAGGAAAAGAAGTATTTTATATTTTCTTAAATACACTTTTTAGGGATCTAAGTTATCTGTTTAGGTCCTACAAATCCAGTTCTTCAGGCAATTCTCAGCAGAGAAATATTTACAATGTGTTTTGCCAGAGGAAGGCAGGAATGGTTATAGCCCCAGTCTGAAAAATAAGGGCTTTTGAGTCCTTTGATACCACCTCTGCTAGGTCAAATGGGGAAAAACAGCGGCTTTTGGGGTGTGGAGAGCTGCATGCATTGGGCTACAGCGGGAGGGAGACAGCTCCGGTGTGATGATCTAGAAAGCAAGCATAGCTTTACCCAAAAGCATGTCAGTAGCTAACGTTGCAGCAGGGGAAAAAAGTTTGTCAGAATAACAGTATCTTTGTAAAACTTCCTGGAGTGTC